GGTCACCAAGAGGGCTTCTTTTTACAACCAATTATGGTTTCGGCCAGGCCCACAATGCGGCGACCAGGTGGTGAGAAATGGGGCCCGACATATTCGAACGGACCATCCCCTGGGGAAAAATACCCGGGGAATTTTCGAACCGTCCGGATTCGATTCCGAGTCCCACAGAGCAGTGGGTTGCAACCTTGACCGATCGGCCATTCGGCCGTCTTAAGAAATTACGTTTTAAATGGAAGATTGTTCTTTACACTATTGTTATATTTAGTTTGTGATAATTTTAATGTTTAGAAAAATCTTGACATTAATGAAAAACATTGATTTAATTTGTTTTTTCGTTTGCTTTTATTATTACTTCTTACTACATTTTAATAAGAAATTTTAAGATAGACGATAAAAATCGATCATTATCAATCAACTTAATATAGAGCAGTGTTTTTCAACCTTCTTGAATACGCGATCCCTTTACAAGTTAAAAAAATTCTGGCGACCCCCCTAGGGCCATATTAAAACTATATTAGTGATTTTAAAAATTATGTATTTAATTTTCTTTCTGTTGAGACAAATTATTGTTGATTAATATTGTTTTTTTTTTTTTTTTTAGAATTTGAATTTTTAGCTTCTACTTTTCTACTTTTTATTTCCTTTTGCAAATTAGCTCAACACTTTTTCCGCTATCGTTTTCTGAGGTGGGCCGTAATTCTCGCTGAAATTGTAGTTTTTTTAATGTAGTGTAGGACCTACAAACACTTGTCTTTTTCTTCTACCCGCGACTCCCCGTGTAAGAATTCGCGACCAGCAGGGGGTCGCGACCCACAGGTTGAAAAGCACTGATATAGAGTATACATACATTTATACACCATGGATATAAACAGAGTGGTTATAATTAAAGTTATTCTATTCAGAGCTCTCTGTAGCTGTAACTAATAAACGGAACGGAACATAATGACACCAAAATTTTTATATTATTTTTATTTTTATCCATGGAATGGAGTGAAAAATTTTATAAAAACGTTGTTAATTCCAAAATCTGCCGATAGGGATAATGTAGCGTTGCATAATAGGAAATCTTTAATAATTTATTATACAGAATGGTGCAAAAGTAAGTACACAGTTGAGAATCTGAGAAATACAAATGTTTGGTGTTCATTATTATTATTTTTATTATCTCTTATTAGTTCGTATTCCTTATTTGTGATTTAATTTGTACATAAAACAAAAATGTTTCTCTTCCTACTTTTTCCCTGTATGTTTTTTCCATAATAACAACTTTTGCAACCACCTTGTATTTATTATTGGTGCATCTTTATTGTAAGATTAAGAGAAAATGCTCTATCTAATATTTTTAGTCCATTTCTAACTTATCTGCAAACAGTGAGTATTATGTAAGACTAAGTTTAATTGTATCATATTTATTGGACTACAATTTAAAAAAATTGTAGATCTATAAATTCCCACAGGAGTGTCTGTCTGTCTTTCCTTAATCTCGAGAACGAAGTTAGATAGATGAAAATCGAGACCCGATATTGAAAGCTCAGCGGCAGGAGATCCCGATTGAACTAACTTAAACTTGGAAACAGGAAGTCACGTTATTTTAATTCAAAAATGTTTCCCTGAAAGGAGTTAGAAGACCGGCATGATACTATTGCTAACAGGAAAAGTATAATGTACTGTATAAGGGCTAATTTGAGGCGGAGATCATATATTTTTAAATTAAATAAATTAAAAATATGATTAAAAATTGCAGCCCGGCATTATTAAGATTTTTTAAAATTTATTTGAAGTAAAGATGTACTACAATATAAAATATTAAGGATTTGTTTGTTTGCCCAAAAAGCATTCCCCCTAGGCAGATCGCCCGAGTGTTGCGTTGCGTTAACAAACAAACATTACTCAGTGTTTTCTCTTTTCTAAAAATTTTAAATATACCAATATTTGTATGGAATTTTATTTAAAGTTAAATATTTAGATGGCTAATTAAACGTTTTTCTTCAAGAAATTAGTTCCGAAACTATTTATATAAATATGGATTCATCGTTAACAACGATAAGAAGAAAATTTAAACACGCTTTATACAATTATTATCCGCGGAATAAGAATTTAACTTAAGTGAATATATAATTACGCTTCTTATATTATCTTTAAATGTTTTTTTTTTTTTAATCAAATTTATAAATTAGTTTAAATAAAACGACTACACACACTTTCAGTTCTCATTTTAATCATCGATATCAGCATTGACATTTTTATATTGTATGATGGACGTCATTCAAACACGGCTAGACGTAAGAGGGCGTACTATCTATTGATAGTTCGCGTTTGTCATTTCGTTGCATGTTGTTATGGTATATGGAAGTTGTGAAAGACAATGGAAACAATACTGATGCGCAATAAATGATGATAACATATATAACTTTTATTTAATAAATATTGCTTAATTATCTCAGGTGAGTTCATTTTTGATACCAGATGTTAATTATCGACGTAAATCGATACAATATTATTATTATTATTGTTTAATTATCACACAGCTTAAGCTAGAAAGCCTTAATACAAAAACAAGTAAAGAGAATTTAATAAATTATTTTGTCATTTTTAGCTTATCACATCTGTAGATACATAATTTTGACATTGATTTAAATATCTATATCAACATTCTGGATTTTTGTTACTGTCATATTTAAAACTTTACAAGAGCAATGATAAAATAATACTATAAAATTTCAAGACTATAATATAGATTTGAACTGGCCTAAACTGTGTATAAACTTGTTTAAGTTTATACACAGTTTAATAAGCAAGATGGGGTGAATACAACATGAAGATAACTTCTTTAAATAACAAAGATTATCATTTGTAATTACCGGTATATGATAAGAAATAGTGTATATAAAATGCTTTGCCATATTGAATATTATTCTGTATTTTTTATTAGTATATCATGCTAATGAAAAAATTAATGAATGATTCCGAAATAATGAATAATACCTGTCGAGAAAAAATTGAAATACTGTTTTACCAAAATCAGTTTTGTGCTTGGGTGAAAAATACATTATTGGAAAACTAAATATTTGCTATTTTGGTAACTAATATCTGATTTTACAATCCATATTTTCATATCATTTCCTATTGTACTTTGAAGTGAAAAGTTCAAATTTGCTATATAAATAATCTATTATATTCGTTTTCACTATTAAGCTTGTATTATATTTTGCATAAATCTTAATGACTTACAATTCATGCAGTTTAATACAAATTACCCTATTCAAACACATTAAAATTACTACAGAAATTTTATGGAATATATTTGTATTAAAACATACTTGTGTGGATNTAATGGATTTTTTCATACTTTTCGGTTATCCGACTTTTCAATTATCCGACCAACCCCAGTCCCCAATTAGGGCAGATAATCGAGGTTCTACTGTATGATTAAAATACTAAAGTGGGAGGGCATCAAAATTATCAAACTTTTACAAAGCAGATACATCCTCAGACACGTGGAAGACCTTTATAAATCTACATAGCAGAGGAAATCTATAAACTTTAAAGACTAGGACACACACTGATTTGTTGGGATCACAGTTTCCAATCCCAACAAATCAGAACCATATTTAGATTGTATTTTATTTATTTATTTTATATTAATTAATATTATCAATCTAAACATATCTTCTGCCTTTTTAAATGATATTTAATTTTAAATGCTGTCCAATTTTTAAATGTTATTTGAGATTTGTATGTTTGATTCTTGATATTCTGTATTATTTAGAAACATTTAATTACTGTTAAGCAGGCTGAAAATGATCACTGAATATGATTGAAAATGTTAGCTGATGTGAATTAAATTGTTTGCTGATTTATAACGTATAAATTGTATTAGTATTGTTTGTATTCCTACTGAATCAGTTATTTTTACATCAAATTTAAAATGATTATCTAGGAACATACGGCACAATTTTATAATTCTACTGTATATTCCTAAAATATATTTAAATTAATAAATTTATGAACAAGGTTAATAATATATTTTGTTACAAATGCTTACCTAAATTTTACAGTAGACAGAGTTGAAACAAATGTACTAGTTTTTCTAAATAAAGCACAATTCATCTTCTTTCTAGTTATAAAAATATCTGGAATTACATATACTTATTCTAAATTGAAAACAGTTAATCATTATAGATATGAACAAATTAGCAATTTAAATAATACATATTTAAATAAATTAATAAGAATTGATAAAAATATGGCATAAAATTGTAGTTTAAATATTTATATAGATACATCAGTCAAATACAACATTCTATTAAAATCAATAATAATTACTTCTTTGATATACTTTAAATTACACTTTTAAACTATTCTTTCTATGAAATTTTTTATACATATTTAAACTTATTATATTTAAGTTCAAAATGTAGCAAATTAGTGGAATCACTAGGACTGGTGTCACCTAGTGCAGCAACTCAGTATCATCCCATGAAAATCTTTTTGTATCAGATCATACAGAATCCTTAGTAATATTTTTTTTTATGTACTAATGTTACTTATAAATCATAATTCCCATATATTACTGAATGTAATGGGCAATAACAAACAACTTGCAAAATTAAAATTACTCCTTTAAATTACATTATCAGACACAGCCTACATGTCTAGTACTTTTATTTATTTATTTTTGTAATTGTATTGTATTTGTAAAATGTAAAATATTTTTGTATTTTTTATGTAATTTGGTAATAATGACAGCTCTGAATGAATGAATTAGAGGGTTCCAAAAGTAAATTAACACAGAGTTTACCGGTACCATATTGATTATAGAGAAGTAGCATATTGATACATGTAAGCTGGGGGTTAACAAAAATGCTTTTGTCCTTATAACGAACTATAGGATATTTTTAAAGAAATAATTTCTGAAAAAACACTGTACGAGAATTTTATATTGTGTCACTTTCGTGTCACTTTCATGTCACCCCTTCTGATGGTGTCAGCTGTTGTAGTAAGCCACCTAGTGAAGGAAGCAACTTATAAATGCAATCATCACTAATATGAACAAAAGATTTCAGAAAGTGGAATCAAGAATTCTCAACAGTATTGGACCTTTGCTTCAAAAGAAATGCAACATGCTATGCTAATGCTGTATAGCAGGGGTGTCCAACCCACGGCCCGCGGGCCACATGCGGCCCAAGGCAAGTTCCAATGCGGCCCAGAGAAACAAAAAGGTTGGACACCCCTGCTGTATAGCATACCAACAATATGTTGCAGTTACCAGTGGCAGATTACTAAATGTACAGACTGTGCACATGCATAGGGCTTCCAATTTAGTAAACTCTAGATCCTAGCTATGTACCATGTAACTTATTTTTTGTTAAAATAAAAATTTCAATAGAACTGTAAGCCACTTTTGCTTTGCCTGTCTAAACTGCCATTCCCTCATTTATATTTTTTACCTTCTGGGCATCCTCTGTTGCCTTTCCTACATGTTGCCACAAGGTTCAAAGGAATATTTTGTGCATTTTCTGTTTAGAAAGACCCAAACATAAGCTGCATCTATTATAGTCAGAAAGTCTGATCTGTTAAGAAAACTCTTGTCTCTAGTGCTTCACATGAAATATACAAGTCATAAAGAGTCTTGTCTCTTTCCTTTTTTCCAAGAACTCCAGTAATAGTGTTGCTCAAAAAACTGAATAAGTATAAAGGCCGGTTTACAAGACACAACTATCGTCAACATTTTGTCACCTAAAACTGCAATATTCATGGATTTATCTTGTTTGAACAAATTCACAACTTTATTGCAACCTTGGTTCGTGTCACAATGGTGTCAGAAAGTCTGATGTTTTCTTGTTGCATCATTCTCTTCCTATGTTATCAGAATTAAATTTATACAACAGAAAAGTATTAAGTGACTAGTAACACTGTCACAGCAAAAAAAAAAGTTGCTTAAATAATTTAAAATAGGGAAATATCCAAAGTATACAAATGATCACTAATATGATGAAAAATTAAAAATTATTAAACTTTTGAACTGGTATTGTTTTTCTTTTCTTTACTTGCTTTATCTGCATTTGATTGACATCAAATTATGAACAGCTTTAAAACATATAAAGTGACTACATCCAGACAACTGATGTTAATGTTGTTTTTCAAAATATTATAGTTGAATTGATAAACAGAATTAAATATTCTTTCAGTTCAAAAAAAAAAAAAACAAAACAAATTAATGATCTACAGTACTTGTCTGAATGAGGTAATATTTAATAGAGAAGTCTTAGCATCCTATTGATGAATTCTACAATATTTAGATCAATGGTTTGATTATAGCCTATTGTGTCAATCATTCAACTTTTAAAATGATATTTAGTTAAAGAATGCAATAAATGTGGCTGATAAATTGGGAATTGAGTATGATGGAGATCAATACTTCTCTGAATATTGTAGATTGAATTCAGACAGACAAAATTTAACAAGTGATGAGGGTTCCTGTAATCAATGTTTGTAAAAAAATGGAAATTTTCAACTGTAACAAAGCTCAAATTTATTAAAAACTGCAATTTCAGGTCCATCTGAATGTATTTTTTCAAAAGTAGGGCATACAATTGACGAAAAAAGATGTTCTTTAAGTCCCTAATACTTGGATAGTGTTTATTTTGAATACATTGAGCCAAGAAGAGTTCTGTTTTATTTGAATAAAATTCATTGTGTATTAATGCAAAATACTATGTTGTTCCTTATTTTATTTATTTTTTGTTTTAGTTGTAATTTCTAAAACATCAAACCCATCATTTCATCTATCGCACACCATTTGATTTAAAATATAAAAAGCTCCGAATGACGACAGGCAGCACAATTATACTATATATTTATCTCTAATTATAAATTTCGCAGCATTTTATCAATTTTTATGCGATTAGAATATTTGTAGTTTTTTAAATTTACACATTTAATGTTTGAAACCAAATTATTTTATTTAAAAGATGAATTTGCTGTATCAAATATGCGAAATGGTAGTAACTATCTTTCAGATATCATTAAACAAAATAAGTTATAAAAATGAACACGAGTGAAATAACCTACATCAACATAAATTACCCGATTTAATTCCTATTAATTGCTTCTTTCCACTCAAGAATCAAGATTTTATTTACAACGTGACTTATGAAAACAGATAATTGGCAATGTTGCCAACTTTATTTCATTATTAAAAATATTTTAAAACAAAAATTGTATTTAATTTATTAATTATTAAAATTTATATTAAACAAATGTCCATAATAATAATTTTAAATAATAAGAAAATATGTTTTTTTATTTTTCCGATTTATGGTCACCAAGAGGGCTTCTTTTTACAACCAATTATGGTTTCGGCCAGGCCCACAATGCGGCGACCAGGTGGTGAGAAATGGGGCCCGACATATTCGAACGGACCATCCCCTGGGGAAAAATACCCGGGGAATTTTCGAACCGTCCGGATTCGATTCCGAGTCCCACAGAGCAGTGGGTTGCAACCTTGACCGATCGGCCATTCGGCCGTCTTAAGAAATTACGTTTTAAATGGAAGATTGTTCTTTACACTATTGTTATATTTAGTTTGTGATAATTTTAATGTTTAGAAAAATCTTGACATTAATGAAAAACATTGATTTAATTTGTTTTTTCGTTTGCTTTTATTATTACTTCTTACTACATTTTAATAAGAAATTTTAAGATAGACGATAAAAATCGATCATTATCAATCAACTTAATATAGAGCAGTGTTTTTCAACCTTCTTGAATACGCGATCCCTTTACAAGTTAAAAAAATTCTGGCGACCCCCTAGGGCCATATTAAAACTATATTAGTGATTTTAAAAATTATGTATTTAATTTTCTTTCTGTTGAGACAAATTATTGTTGATTAATATTGTTTTTTTTTTTTTTTTAGAATTTGAATTTTTAGCTTCTACTTTTCTACTTTTTATTTCCTTTTGCAAATTAGCTCAACACTTTTTCCGCTATCGTTTTCTGAGGTGGGCCGTAATTCTCGCTGAAATTGTAGTTTTTTTAATTTAGTGTAGGACCTACAAACACTTGTCTTTTTCTTTTACCNCCCCTAGGGCCATATTAAAACTATATTAGTGATTTTAAAAATTATGTATTTAATTTTCTTTCTGTTGAGACAAATTATTGTTGATTAATATTGTTTTTTTTTTTTTTTTTAGAATTTGAATTTTTAGCTTCTACTTTTCTACTTTTTATTTCCTTTTGCAAATTAGCTCAACACTTTTTCCGCTATCGTTTTCTGAGGTGGGCCGTAATTCTCGCTGAAATTGTAGTTTTTTTAATGTAGTGTAGGACCTACAAACACTTGTCTTTTTCTTCTACCCGCGACTCCCCGTGTAAGAATTCGCGACCAGCAGGGGGTCGCGACCCACAGGTTGAAAAGCACTGATATAGAGTATACATACATTTATACACCATGGATATAAACAGAGTGGTTATAATTAAAGTTATTCTATTCAGAGCTCTCTGTAGCTGTAACTAATAAACGGAACGGAACATAATGACACCAAAATTTTTATATTATTTTTATTTTTATCCATGGAATGGAGTGAAAAATTTTATAAAAACGTTGTTAATTCCAAAATCTGCCGATAGGGATAATGTAGCGTTGCATAATAGGAAATCTTTAATAATTTATTATACAGAATGGTGCAAAAGTAAGTACACAGTTGAGAATCTGAGAAATACAAATGTTTGGTGTTCATTATTATTATTTTTATTATCTCTTATTAGTTCGTATTCCTTATTTGTGATTTAATTTGTACATAAAACAAAAATGTTTCTCTTCCTACTTTTTCCCTGTATGTTTTTTCCATAATAACAACTTTTGCAACCACCTTGTATTTATTATTGGTGCATCTTTATTGTAAGATTAAGAGAAAATGCTCTATCTAATATTTTTAGTCCATTTCTAACTTATCTGCAAACAGTGAGTATTATGTAAGACTAAGTTTAATTGTATCATATTTATTGGACTACAATTTAAAAAAATTGTAGATCTATAAATTCCCACAGGAGTGTCTGTCTGTCTTTCCTTAATCTCGAGAACGAAGTTAGATAGATGAAAATCGAGACCCGATATTGAAAGCTCAGCGGCAGGAGATCCCGATTGAACTAACTTAAACTTGGAAACAGGAAGTCACGTTATTTTAATTCAAAAATGTTTCCCTGAAAGGAGTTAGAAGACCGGCATGATACTATTGCTAACAGGAAAAGTATAATGTACTGTATAAGGGCTAATTTGAGGCGGAGATCATATATTTTTAAATTAAATAAATTAAAAATATGATTAAAAATTGCAGCCCGGCATTATTAAGATTTTTTAAAATTTATTTGAAGTAAAGATGTACTACAATATAAAATATTAAGGATTTGTTTGTTTGCCCAAAAAGCATTCCCCCTAGGCAGATCGCCCGAGTGTTGCGTTGCGTTAACAAACAAACATTACTCAGTGTTTTCTCTTTTCTAAAAATTTTAAATATACCAATATTTGTATGGAATTTTATTTAAAGTTAAATATTTAGATGGCTAATTAAACGTTTTTCTTCAAGAAATTAGTTCCGAAACTATTTATATAAATATGGATTCATCGTTAACAACGATAAGAAGAAAATTTAAACACGCTTTATACAATTATTATCCGCGGAATAAGAATTTAACTTAAGTGAATATATAATTACGCTTCTTATATTATCTTTAAATGTTTTTTTTTTTTTAATCAAATTTATAAATTAGTTTAAATAAAACGACTACACACACTTTCAGTTCTCATTTTAATCATCGATATCAGCATTGACATTTTTATATTGTATGATGGACGTCATTCAAACACGGCTAGACGTAAGAGGGCGTACTATCTATTGATAGTTCGCGTTTGTCATTTCGTTGCATGTTGTTATGGTATATGGAAGTTGTGAAAGACAATGGAAACAATACTGATGCGCAATAAATGATGATAACATATATAACTTTTATTTAATAAATATTGCTTAATTATCTCAGGTGAGTTCATTTTTGATACCAGATGTTAATTATCGACGTAAATCGATACAATATTATTATTATTATTGTTTAATTATCACACAGCTTAAGCTAGAAAGCCTTAATACAAAAACAAGTAAAGAGAATTTAATAAATTATTTTGTCATTTTTAGCTTATCACATCTGTAGATACATAATTTTGACATTGATTTAAATATCTATATCAACATTCTGGATTTTTGTTACTGTCATATTTAAAACTTTACAAGAGCAATGATAAAATAATACTATAAAATTTCAAGACTATAATATAGATTTGAACTGGCCTAAACTGTGTATAAACTTGTTTAAGTTTATACACAGTTTAATAAGCAAGATGGGGTGAATACAACATGAAGATAACTTCTTTAAATAACAAAGATTATCATTTGTAATTACCGGTATATGATAAGAAATAGTGTATATAAAATGCTTTGCCATATTGAATATTATTCTGTATTTTTTATTAGTATATCATGCTAATGAAAAAATTAATGAATGATTCCGAAATAATGAATAATACCTGTCGAGAAAAAATTGAAATACTGTTTTACCAAAATCAGTTTTGTGCTTGGGTGAAAAATACATTATTGGAAAACTAAATATTTGCTATTTTGGTAACTAATATCTGATTTTACAATCCATATTTTCATATCATTTCCTATTGTACTTTGAAGTGAAAAGTTCAAATTTGCTATATAAATAATCTATTACAAGAATTATCTAATAAATCTACATATTAAATATATATATATATATATATATATATCTAGAATGATGTTAATGTTAATTACTGTTGAAAAAATATGACAGAAAGCATTTGATTTTATATATATATATGTTTATTAGCTGATATAATTCAACAAAAATGGAAAAATATTTTGTAGGAAAAAATAGCATTTGAAGTTTTATTTATTATTATAATAAGTTGCTCATGTTGTTTATCTTTCTATTTTTTTATGTATAAGTTTTGAGGATTGTTTTGTTAAACCTTGGCAGAATAACTGAAATATATATCTTATCCTTTCCTTTCATTCTTTTGTAGAGATTATGCTTGTTAGCCAGAGTTCTCTGATGTCCCAATTTTACCAGATTGTTCTGAGTTAAGCAGCAAAATCCCAAATTCTGAACTATTGTATATATCAAAAATCTTGCACAGATATGCAACTTACACAAAACAAGAAAAATTAAATTTCACGTTTAAATGAAATGTATAATAATCAATCCTACTGTAACATATATTGTTATAAATGCAAAATTTGTTACAGGAGCAACATAACGTTGTTTTTAAGGAAACCTAAGGTAACAAAATATTCTTTGTATAACTATATTTAATAGAAGTATTTATGTTTAGAATAGGTGTTAATAAAGACAGTAAAATAAAAATGTTTGACACCAAAAATAAAAAAGTAAACAAAAGCAATCACATAGCAGATATTGCATGAAAATATAAATTACATAGCAGGTATAATCAAAAAGTATAATACAAGTTTTTTATTTTTTAAGCTTTACCTCTTAATGTTCTTATACAATTATTATGTTAACAAATTTTGTTTTGTTCATTTATATATTGTAGGACACACACAAATCCATCCAAATAATTACAAGTTATTCCAGATATTATCAGATTACCAAAAGAGATTCATATTACAATATACAAAATTACCAAAAGATAATACACAAATTCCTAAAAGTTACCACAGATACTACACTTTACAATATGTTACAAAAGATCCAGTTTTTGCCATCAATGCAGTCATCCAAATCATATTAAACAACTGGGTTATGGATGAGCCAGGTTCTGATAAAATGAATTGTAATCTTTTGGCATATAGTGTAACAGATTTATCAAGTTCTAGTACTTCTCTGCTGATAATTTTGGTTCTTTGTCTGCAAATTAAATATTAAATAAGTGGTTATAACACAGCAACTAAAAAAATGAATAGTTAAAAACAGATTGAAAGTTTCAATATATATCTTTCTGAAGTATTGCAGTCTTACCAAAATCAATACAATTCCAAGAAAAAATCATTGAGATTGCACTGACATGATGACTCAGCTCTATCCTATTTCTAATGTCCCCATACATCCATGAAAGCATGCT